AAAAACAAAAACGAAAACAAAACGAAACAAGTCGAAAAATTCAATAAAATTGGTACTTGAAATTTTTGAATGTTTGTTTTTTGATTTTTAACTTGTTTTGCCTTTTCTGCTTCTCTGCTGAATGAGTGTTGAGGTGAGAGTGTGACAGGGACAGACAGAGAGAGAGAGAGAGAGAGAGAGAGAGCTGGCTTGCTTTCTGGCCTCGACTGAGGCTGATTTATGTAGCGGCTTAAGCTTGACAACGGATTAGTTGCATATTTAGAGTCCGCGCAGTCTTTTGGGTAGACTGCAACTGCAACTGCAACTGCAACTGCAGCATGTGGCAGCTGCGTCCATTAGCAGCGCTCAGATAAAGAAACTCCAAGCAAAAGTACGCGCTTTTTAGCTGCCTTTCGTTGATATACCCTAACACTACCACTCGGGCATTGTTGGCTATGTGAAGGGGTTTGTCGTGCGATTGGCAAAGAAGGAAGGAAGTGGGTTTATAGAAAAGCACATGGGAGCACAAGTTGTTGAATAAGGTATACATATACATATATCATTTATATTCATGAAATCAAAATTTTAAAATTTTTTATTTATTTTTAGATATCTATTATTTTTATTTTATTGTTATTCAGTTCACATTCCCCTCTAAGCTGATTAGATGACACGTCTCATGAAGGGAAATCATATTCATAATCATATACTCCAAAGTCGCTCCCAGTTAGGCTAAACATTCATATAATTATAGTGAATTTAGTATACAGACTAAGATGGCCTAGTTAATTAGTTATCTCACAGTCTAATCGTATCGAATCCGTATAACTTTATTGCAATCACTATGTAATATCGTATTTATAGCTAAAGTCTGGAAATTCCAGAAATGCTTTTCTACACTCACCGGTTATTGGCGGTGGTTCGACCACTGTGGATGGGCCAAAGAACGACGGAATGTCGCTCGACGTGGTCACCGGCGTATTGAGATCGCCGGGCAGAGCCTCGATGAGCTGTTTGGCCTCCACGGCCACGCCGTGCTCGCTGGCCGTGACGGGACTCTGCTGGCTGGTGTTCAGCAGGCTGAGGTGTGAGGCGGAGCTGCGGCCGCTGCTTGCGGCTGCTGCGCTGCCTGCACTTGGCTGGGCAGCCACGTTGCCTGGACTGCCGCCCTGTGTGGGCGTGGCTGTTTGATTGCGTGCGCGCAGCACCGAGTTGTTGTTGTTGCTGTTGTTGCTGTTGCTGTTGCTATTGTTGCTGTGACTATGACTGACCGCTGTCGTGTAGTGCAGCAGCGTCTGGCCACTGCTGCTGCTGGCAGCCGTCGACGAGCTGCTGGCCGCGCCAAACTGCGCGGCGCCCAGGTAACTGGCAGCCGAGGGGCTGCCGCTCTGCGCCGTGCTGGTCTTGAACAGGCACGTGTCAAAGCTCAGCACATTGAAGTGGGCCGCGGCGGCCGTTTCTGTGAGCAGGAATGCGTGATGCGTGGGCGCCACCAGGGTTTCAAGCCCTTCCATGATCATGGCCGCTGATGGAGTTCCAGGGGCTACGCCGCCTACAGAGACCGAGAGCGAGAGAGAGAGAGAGAGAGAAAGATGATTAGTACATTTTATATATTATTGTTTATACAAATTATATATCGTATTTCATAGTCAATAGAAACCAATTCTTAAAGCCTAATAAACCGTGATATATTATCGTAATCTATTATTCCATTATATTATGTTCGGCATGGGCTTGGGCCAAAGCATATACCTGACTAAGCGTGGAGTATTGATTGCGTATAGAGATTTGCTAATAGACACAAGAGTGCGGCTCTGCGTATCTCTAAAGTTGCAAATCTACAAATCGACAACAATTACCGATTCGGCGGATGAACTGCAGTTCGCACCGCTGAGGCCTAATTAGGCTCGTAAATCGGGCAGTGCCGAATGCAACTTGTCGCCTGCTGCTGCTGGATAATAGAATGGAGATAAGTAAACTACAGTCTGCCGCAGCGGGTGGTGTCGACACCGCAAATCGGGCGGGCTGTTAGTTTCCGCCCGTTGGACCATTTTTTGAGACAAGTTTTAATTGATTTGCCATGACAGCTGTTCGATTGCATAACACGCAGCCGTTTACCGCAATTTATGAGCCACAAACAGTTTAATTTGGCTCACATTTCGTGTCATGTGTGGCATCTTGTCAAGACTTTCGGACTGGGAGCTGCGACTGCGCCCACGCACCACTTTCAGTCCGTGTGCGAGTCTGGGCCCGAGTCGAGTCAGCGCAGTTGGCGGCTCACATTCGCGCTAAGCAATTAAATTAATATCGATTAAGTTCTTAAGTGGACTCAGTGAGAAGTAGAACATGCGGCTTTCCCACAGCTGCACACCTCCGATCCAAGTGGGTCAGCGATGGCTGCGCATTGGGTCAAGCGGTGACCTTACGCAATGCCCCACAGAGCCAACTTGGGCATGGAGAAAAACACTGAGAGACCAACTGCAGTTGCGCAATGCGTAATTAAATGCCGTCCATATGCCATAAACTTGGCTTATAATTTGCCAAACGGCGCTGATTTGACTCTGTCCACGCCGAGATCTGCGCGATCTCCGAGATCTCCGCGATATCCAAGTCTCTCGTCGCCCGCAACTGTGGCGTCATCCTCAAGTGCGTCTTGCGTCGTCGTCGTCGTTCGACTTGACCGCGTTGATTTGCATTACAAGTGCACTCGTGTTGACAGCCAGCTATGCGCCAAAATAACTACCGTGCCAGCAGTTGGCCAGCAGCAAAACCCTCCACATACACACACACACACACACACACATAGACAGACATTCGGCTGCAGCATCTTCTCTTAAGCGAGCTCGTCTCCAGCTGGTTTTGCTGTTTTGGCACTTTTGCTTTTTTTATTTATTTACATTTGATTTCACGCATAATTTCCGTGGCAAAGTGCACTCGAGACGAGACAAGCGGCGATCGAGCGAGCAACGGAGCGACGGAGCGACGTAGCGACGGACCACTGAAATTACATTCAACAAAGCCAAACAGAAACACACACACACACACACATACGTATATAGATAGAGATATAGCTAAAGCACAGCGCGTGCTGTGTCTCTGTTGCTGTTGCTGTTGCTGTTGCTGTTGGCTTTGCTGTTTGTTGTTCCATTCATTCATAAAATTATGCGGCGCAGTCAATAATTTTTACAGTCGATCAAAGATTTGTATCTGAATGCGAGTAGCACATGAATCATTCACAGCTCGAACTGTTTCTTTTTTCTTCTTCTTCTTCTTCTTTTGGGTCGAACTGGTCCCCGCCTGGCTCCGTCGACTCTGCTCAATCTGAGCTCTGATCTTGGCCAGCCACGGCATCAGCCTCTTCTTGTGCGCTTAATAACTTGGCTAACAATTGACACTCCCTTAAAAAAGAGACTGAGAAGGAGACCGGGAGTGAGAGAGAGAGAGAGAGAGAGATAGAGATAGAGGAATAGGGAGAGGGGAAAAAGCATAGCTGCGAACGTTCAGGCCGTTGTTGCGGCTGTTCGTGCCGCAGACATTTACATATTAAGTTGGCCGACTACAGTGAGCATTGCCTAAGTTACGCCATAAGGAGAGAGAATCGAGAATATGTTTCGGCTGGTGTCTAGCTAGAGCTAATAGTGTCAGCTTATACATATATTTTTATATACTCTATAAACAGATCTACAAGCTGTCACAGCAGAGATATGGAGACAAACTGTTGTCTATTTGAGATCGATTTTATATGGTATCTCTAAATGTACAAAAATATGATGATTAATATCATATCATATGTTATATATCATATATGATTAATTTGATAAATCATATAGACATGTACGAATATAACTCAGATATACACTAAAAAAGAAACACAATGCATATACTAGTTCATATCATATCTATTTACGATCCATTGAACCATCTACGATCTCTCTTAAAGAGGCTACTCTATAAAATATGAGTAGATCTTGCTCTTCCATACATCAACAGCTTGCACAATTCTCTGCTCACATTTCATTTCGAAATGACGTTTGTAAAGCTCTAAATTGTATTCTAGACTATTTTTCAATCGATCTATTCAAAAGTAGGCTCAGCCAGGTGAGCTGCCCGCCTAGTGGGCGACCACTGTACCGAGCACATATATATATGTACAGTAAATCTTGTGTGAGTCTGTCGCCCGTTTCTTTCACTCTGCATAATTTTGCATAGCATTTCGGCATAGTAGTCGCCGACGGCCCGAGTGCTCAAGATTTTTGCAATGAATGAATATTGGCACACAGCGATGAGGAAGAAGAAGAAGAAGAAAAAAAAATCTATACAACAAAAATAAAATAAAAATTGTTATGTTGATATTATTTTAATTAAGTTTTGCCAAACCGGTTGCTGTTGTTGTTGCTATATATATATATATATATATATATATATGTGTGTGTGTGTGTTTGACTGGTGGCGCAGTTTCATTTGGGGTTCTGCTCTTCGAGTGTTAACAATCCGATAGATGGGCGCCAATTTGTTTAGCTCGGCAAGTGGAGCCCGAGCTCGAAGCTGACCCGCAGTGAGACGCGAAGACAAAGACAACAGCAGCAACAGCAACAACAAAGGCAATGGCAACGGCAACCGCGAACAACTTCAATGCATCTTCGGTGCGAGCTGAGCTTTATTGTTGTTTTTAGGTATTTATGGAGGCCTCATTGAGGATTAGGTGGCGACCTTATCGACTTGGCTACTTAGCGGCTCCAAAAATAATGCAATCTGTTGTCTTTGGGCTATTATTTTATGTACAGAGTTATTTTTATTATATGGCGTTTTGTTGTTGTTGTCATTATGCAATGACAGATAGACAGATGGACAGAGATTTGCATAAAGAGCTGTGTGAGATTCGATATCTTTAGCTAACCTTGGGCAAAAAGCATCCGAGCAAATGCCCAGAGGTCGAACAATTAACAGCAACAAGAATTACAGTTGTTATTGTTGTTGTTGCTGTTGCTGTTGCTGTTGCTGGTTATTAACATAAAAAGAAATTGGAGAAACGCCTTGAGAGGCGGCGTCATTAGTCAAAATGCAAAAGACGTGCAGTAAAAGTATCTGGCAGCGGGCATAGATACAAACATGCAACTCGCATGCAACAGTTACTGCAACAGCTCTCTGCCATATCAGAGAGCTGGCAGATGCAGGAGACAAAGACAAAGTCCATCATTCACGCAGCGGGCAGCATCGGCTGCGGCTGCGGCTGCGGCTGCGACTGCGGCTGCGGCCCCGTCTCGGACAGCCTGCCACGGACAACTGGACAACTGGACAGCGGCTGGACAACTCAGCCAGTCAGCCAGCCAACAAGTTAAGCAGTGCACCAACAACAACAACTGCAACATGGAAAATGTATCTTTTGCCGACGCCGTCTTTGCATGCGTAACACTTTGTCACACTTTTCATGCCAACAGCTTCGACTGGGCATAGTGTTGTTGCTGTTGTTGTTGTTGCTGGTGTTGTTGCTGCTGTGTTTCCTCATGAGAACAATTAATGAAAATAAACAGCCGCAGGCACTAAGGCACTAGCAGCAACAATATCAAGCAGCACCAACAGCTCGACATTGCCTTACCCTCTGCAGCATGCCAGCAATATATAAATATTAATATTATTCACTCATTAAATTTAATTTAACTATTTGCTGTAAACGGATAAGGTCAACGAAAATAAAAAAAAAAACTCATTCAGCATTTAGTTCAGAATGTAAAATCAAATTGACATACTTAGAGATTTAAAATTAAATATTAATAGAAATCTTATTATTTGTTGAATATGATTTCAATTATATGTATAATAATAATTTATATATATAATTAAAGGTAATGTAATGTATATAACTAAATATAATATATAGCAGTGGCCAACAATAATTTATACATATATATTGAATATGAATTAAGCAATGAAATACCAAGAGCTTGCTTAGCTTACAAATATTATATTCACATTAATTGCAAAAATAAAATACTATATAGTTAAATTGAATTCATATGGAGCAACAAATTTATACTATAATCAAGCCTGAATTTTTGTACAATAAATAAATAAACAAATTTAATCTATTTTATATGAGTCTCCTTTGGTACACCAAGAGCTAACTGAGCACTAATACCTTATAATACATAAATAAATAGCAACATATTGATATACCAGAGAGCTATATATATAAGATAATCATGCTTATTTGTCTTAATCTTGATTTCTTACTTTTCTTAACTTCCCTAAGTTAAGTATCTTTGTTACAATAGGATAAAGTAAATAATTCAAGCTAATAACACAATTGGCTTCAATAGTGCATAGAACTCTATGACGTTCTTTGTCTATGAGCGGAATCCGTGTGAAAAATGAATTATAAATGGACGGCAGGCTTCACCTTTTAGTTTCAGCTGCGCACAGCTCCAATACGTCGTTGTTTTACAGGGTATATACGCATGTAAAAACATCATGTATGTGTATTTTTATAAAATTTGAAAATTATTTTAGTGGGCACTTAGCTGGGCGGGCGTCGCCTTTCCGCTTGTTTGGCTT